CGAGCTTGTTTCCAAGGAGGATTGTGGCTGATTTAGACCAACAACCATGTTGATCAAATGGTTTTGATGGGGAAAATGGTTATGTTTGATTTTTTTAAAAATTGAAGTCCACGTGCTATAATTGCCGGAGTGGGCGCAGGATTTTTTTTACTGAAAAATGTTTAAAGTTATAAATGATGTATTATTATGTTTTTCAGAAATGTGCCTAGTTCATGCTACCTGGTTTTCTGGTGGCTCACCTAGAAATTAATGGAGTTTAGTTTTAAGAAAAAAGGATAGCAATTAATAAAACGCATTTAACTGTTGAGGTTTCTAGATAGAGTGACTGTACAAATCTTATTAGGTGGTGTCACTTACTTGAAACGTGGTTTATATTTTAATGTGTATTTCCAATTCTGGATAATCTTCGTTCTTTACATTCGTTTGATCGTTGAAGTTGGAAGTTTGATTTTGATACCAAAAAGAGATGGAGATATGAATGATTTCAAGGATACAAATCCCTATAGTTTTGTGCCTTAAACATGACATCAAGTAACTTTCTGGGTCATCGACCTTTTTGGATATATTTTTTTACTTATAATTTCCGTCAAAGATTTACCCCTATTTTAAATTTTTCATGCTTGTTTCTTTTACCTTTAATAGGAAAATTCAGGCACCTTCCATTTTGAAAATGGTGAAGTTATAGCTATGCCAGATATCACAAAATGCATTTTTGATGCTATATCAAGAATGGAGATGGTCGTAGAGCAGGGGAGCACCATTGTAGCAGCAGTTGAAGGAGTGGAACACCAATTTGGAAGCAGTTTCTCTAGTTAGTTCATACTTAAATGGTTATTGGCTTTGAACTATCGATTGTGTGCAAGGAATATTAGCTATAGTGGTGCTAAAATGAAATTTATTATCTATGTTTTGAGGAGCCTATTTGGTGCACATTAAAATGAGAGAGTGCATTTTTTGAAGTGATGTGATGGGGAATATGTAGTTGAAAATGAAGGAAAAGTTATTGATGTGATGGAAAATATTATTTTATTGAAGAATGTGTGGTTGAAAATTAGTAGAAGAATGAGAATGAAAAAAAGAATGGATACCAAATAGAGGCTAAAAATATGTTTTGAATTTTATAT